TGGGCCAAAACCATCAATTATTTAAAATTTGAAGCTTCCGGTGTGTTTTTCAATGGGAGCTTTGTATTTCTCGCTTATTTGTGACGAAAATGATGTAAAATTCGAGACCTTTTAAGAGAGTGAAATTTTCTAAAAACTCGACACTTCTTTCTTAAGAAATTTTCGCTAAAAATTCAAACTCTTACATGCGTGTTTTTTGGGCTCTATAAATTGGTTTAGACCTTAGGAGCTCTCCAATATGCATATTTAAAGTGTTTGAGTCTTGAAACTCTCTGAAAACATGAAAGCGATGAAATATGCGGGCGACGAAACTGACGCAGCTTCTTCTTAAGTTAATGAGCTTTGGTAAAAGTTAGTGCAGAAAAAGTTTCTACAGGTAGGCAAATGAACCATTCCAAAAATCACGAAAGTTCTATATGATCTCAGTTAGGCCAAAAACTTTTTTTTGTATTTTAACACCACAGGCATTCAGATTTTTTCGCACATCTCGTTTATTTACAGAGTGATCTTAAAAAACAACTTTTTGGTCTTGTCTTTAGATGCCTTGCTTTTTCTTGAACCCATTTTAAAAATCTAAAGCTCATACTGACGCCAAAACTTAACAATCGAATTGCAAGAGAAATTCAATAGAGCGGGCTGCATGAATGTACGAAATTTTTGATAGTAAACTTCAGTGAGTTGAAAATTTTCCAGAATCACAGATTTTGGGGGCAATTCTGATTTGGGTTATTTTTTGTGCAACAGTGTGTATCGAATTTTCGCGTTAAAACTTCTATGAAGCTTCAATATGAGCTCAGGATCGTAAAGTTCGGACCAGCAGCAGAAAAGTTATCGCTGAAAAAGAGCTTTTTTGAGACCACCCTATAAATACAAAAGATGGCCGAAAATTTTCAGAACTTTCTTGAGCCATTTGGTTTGTCTTTAAACTTTTGGGGTTGAGATCCAAAAAACCTCATTTTTTTCCAACCAGGTACATGCCGAACTTTCCGAAATTTTGCATGTTTCCATTTGCCATCCTGTAGAAAATGTGTCTTAGGCGCTAAATGACCAAAGCATTGACTAACAGAAAACAAATTGGGCTAAATAACGCTTCAAACACAAAGAAAAACGCTTGGAGCAATCAGAATTTACCCAGTTCTACAGTAAGGACAAATCTGGCTGTGAAACAATCATTTTGTTGAGTTTATATGAAGCTCCTATTTGTGGAGTGGTTATCAAGTTTAATTTCTATAAGAAAATATAGTGAATCGGTAAAGGGGCAAGAGGCAATAAATCTCTGATATTCTTATAAGAACCAATAAAGCTAAAAAAAGTCGAAGTAGTCGTAGAACTCGAAAATCCAAAAAACACCAGTAGATTAGATGCAAAAATGACCGAAGAATGGTACGAGTACAAAGGCAATTCATCAAAGGCCTCAAAGAGTAGAAGCAGAGGAAATCTCGCTCAGGTCTTCAACGGATGAATAATTTTTAATGCGTGCTCAAAAAATACCAAGGAGTGTTTCAGTCGTGATGGAACATTTATT